CTGGCTTGCCTCTCCTCACCATCCCATATCCAGGTGCTTAGAGGAAGCCCCCATGTGCTAACCAAAACATGCACCATATTTCAAAAAAAAAAAAAAAAAACATAGTATGACAGAGAAAAAGACGTCACTGGTAGCTGAAGTAGCACTTCCAAGGCCTGGGAAAAGAACTGTTGGCAATAGAACAAGCCAAGGGTGAAGGAAGTTTACAGTAAGTGTGAGTGCCTGGTGGGGTCTAAAAGCCATGCAAAACTGTAACCGGGCTGTGGTTCTCTCAGCATGAGGAATGTTGCTCCATAGAGCTCTTTATTACATTTACTTTGATTTCTTTACTATGTGGGTACTGCATATCTGATAACCAAACTCTAAAACTCCATGTGGCCACTCAGCTAAAGTGGCTGAAGTACAGTTATGGATATTCCCACAAAAGAGTAGTTCTAACACTTATAACTAAAGTATAAATATTTCACTTACTTCTTAATAATTCTTATAGAATTAAATGCCATCATCTTCCCTTGAATTACCATTTTTTACAGGAGGGAGTAAGTCCTTCAGAGGAATACAAAATACAACCCGGTGATGAATTAGTGTTTTATGTTTTATCGTGAGTGCAATACTTAACACACATTTTTTTTAACAATGGTTTGTATTATTTCTGGTGGCAAAGTAACCTCAGTGTTTTGAGGTTTAATAAGTGTAGGACATGGTGTAAAATTCTTTATATACATCAGTTCCTCCAACTCTTAAAATACAGATCAGTGCCATCGTTACCAGTTTACAGATGAAGATATCAAAGTTCCAAGTATTTAGTAACTTGCCCAGGATCACATAATTAAGTAAGAGATTCAAACTGAAATCTGTCAGAGCCAAAACAAAAACTAAAAAAAGCTCCTATTCTTAATCATCATCATGGTTAAACAAAACTGTTTATTTATTGGACCAATGAAGCCTTGGTGAGTTTTGTACGAGAACACTTCTCTAGGGGAATCTAGACAAAGCTGGATGTTGGAAAATGCATAGACTGTTTACCTTTTGGGTGAAATAGATGCCAAAACTTTCATCAGGAGAGGAAATGGAAACTGTATTTCTAATTCATGAGTCCCCATGTTTCCAACCTGAGCTTTTGAAGCCTCCTTCTAATCAATATTACCTGTATAACACAGAATTTAGGCAGAGGTTAACAGGCCTGGATTCAAATTTCAATTCTCCTTAGATCAAGTTGCCTAATTCACTGAGTCTCAGTTTTCTTATCCATAAAAATAAGCATTATAATAAGGTAAGGTTATTAGTTCTTATTTGAAGAAACTTCTCTGGGGGTTAATGATGTTGAATATGCTTGTCAGTGGTATACCTTCATTGGCAAATTTTTCATGTTTTACCCATTTTTAAAAATTGGATTGTTGGTCTTCTTAATGTTGAGTTTTGAGATTTTTAATGTAAAATGAAACCTATTTGTACATGAATGTTCATAGCAGTTTTACTGGTAATACCCCCAAACTAGAAATAACCCAAATAACTATCAAAAACTAAATGGAGAAACGAATTGTAGTATATCCACATAATAGAATATTATTCATCCATAAAAAGGAATGAAATATAGATACATGCTACAACATGGATGAATCTCAAAATAATTCCAGTGAGTACAAAAAGACAAAAAAAGTGCATGGTATATGATTCTATTTATACAAAATTCTAGAAAATTCAAACTAATGTACAATGACAGAAGCAGATCAGTAGATGCCTACAACAGGTAGAGGGGTATGAATGGTTAAGAGAAGAGAAATACAAAAGGGCACAAGGAAACATTCAGGTATGATGGATATATTCATTGTCTTCATCATGGAGATAGTTTCCTGGGTGTATATACACATGCTCAAATGTACCAAATGATACTCTTTAAATATATGCAGCTTATTGTATATCAATTACATCTCATTAAAGCCTGTTGAACTTAATAGCACCCAAGATTCACCTTTGCCCTGTGAATTGTTCCTGATGCAGAGGAGGGGTACTATGTTAGTCAGCTTTTTGTCTCTGTGACTAAAATATTCAACAAGAATAACTTCAAGGAGGAAAAGTTTATTCTGACTCGTGGTTTAGAGTTCAGTCCATCGTCGGCCAACTGCATAGCTCTGGGCTTGAGGTGAGGATATATATCATGGCAGAAGGGCATGGCAGAGGAGAACTGCTCACCTCATGATAGTCAGGAAGCAGAAAGAGAGCATGGAGCCAGGGACAAAATATATAATCGCCAAGGCACAACCTCAGTGATTCACTTCCTCTAGCCACACCCCACCTGTCTACAGTTCCCACCCAGTAATTCATTCAAACTATGAATCCATCAAATGGATTAATCCACCAATTCAGTTGCAGCTCTCATAATCTAATCATTCTTACTCCTATATTAATACTGGAACTTTTAGAGTCACCTCATAACCAAACCATAGCAGATCCCCAGTAGCCATGCTTGTACTACATGCCCCTGCCTCCCTGACCAGAGCTGATGCACCTGATGGAAGATCACTAGAGATGAGAAACAAAGTTGTTAATGTTCTAAAGATCCATTATGTTCTGCTTCTAAGATCCTGGAGTTGCTCTGGCTTGGTCCATCCAAAGACCTGTTGTTTTAATTTTTAGATGTCAGGATCTCAGTGTTCAGTCAATATAGTCTACCCAGAGTTGGTTTATGCTGACAGAAACCTTGGGGTGGGGGACATGAAATTAACATTTAATTCATTTTACTGATATATTATTGTGCTTTATATAACACATGGCCATATCCCTATTCAAAATAGAATGTTTAACCAGCAAGGTGAGTCATTCATCCATACCTTCATTTAATAAAATTTTATCCAATGGTGTCTTATGTGCCAGGCACTGTACATTTTAACATCTCACTCAAATTGTACAACAGCCTATATAATGATCTCGTGTTCACAGGTGAAAAGGCTCAGGTTCAGGAGTTCAATAACTCACTTAAAGTCAAAGAGTTCCTGGTAGGTACTATATCCAGGATTTGAGACCAGGTCTGTCTAACTCCAGAATCCAAACTTTTCTCACTATCCAAATTCTGTTCCCCAGTAGTAGTAAGCCCTCACAATAGGCAGAGAGTTCCTAATGTCCAGGCATTGTGGCTTGTGGCTTTGAGATCCAAGGATCCCATGATGTTTCCTTCAATCAGCCTCAAGACTAACAAGTGTCAGCTTACTGCAGCACAAGGGTGTGGCCTTACAGGGCTCCCCCTGGAAACAGCTGAATTATTTATTCTGGAGGGCAAAGACAAGTGGGATCTTCCCCCGCATGTTGATATCTGCTATCTAGTAATCAAAATTACTATTGAGTGACAAAGGGCTAGCAAAATTCTGAAACTAAAAATGGTCAACCAAAATCACAGGAAAGGCCCAATCAATGCCACCCTGAGACATGAGTCAAAAGATAATGGGGCTATAATAGTCTTCCCAAGAATTCATTGGAACTTGGAACACTTATGAAAATCTTAGGCTTAAAGCTGTACTTTTTCATGGCTGCACCACCAATAATTTCAATTGCACTGGCTCAGGTTAAAGCCAGAAACTTCACAATGCTTTCTTTTCCTCAGGGAAGTAAGTCTAATAGAGCAGGAGGAGATTTTCACTTGCATTTTTTAGAGATTTCAGTATAGTTTAAAAGTATTACTCTTGAATTAAAAAAAATAAATAAGAAGAGTGGAGAATCCTTTGGTCTTTACATAACATGGTCTTCCTTGTGATCTACCTGTAGAAATATGAAAAGCGCCCAAAGCTCAAATGCATTGAAAATCATCACAGTGTCATTTTTTTAGTTAATTTATTTATTTTAATTAGGTATACATAACAGCAGAATGCATTTTGATTCATTGTACATAATTGTGGCACAACTTTTCATTTCTCCGGTTGTACATGATGCAGCGTCACACCATATGTGCAGTCATACATGTACCTAGGGTAATGATGTCCACCTCATTCCACCATTTTTCCTGCCCCCATACTCCATCCCCACCTCTCCCTCCCCTTTGCACAGTGACATTTGTAAGAGGAAAAAAAAAATTACAACCACTATTCAAAAATCTGCTAATGTTAACCAATAGTACATTCACATGATAAAAATTATGCACACATTAAAATGTTTTCAAACACTAAAATGATATAGGTAATATGATTTGCTAAATGATAAATGCAATCCAATCCTAAAATGTGTGTGGTATATGTTAAATTGAAGCATTGAGAAAAGAATGTACATAAATATTAAAGCAGTATTGTCTGAGCATGGGTAAAATATTTTCCCTCTTATTTTTATATTTTATCAATTATTAAGATACATATATGGGGCTGGGGTTGTGGCTAAGCAGTAGAGTGTTTGCCTAGCACATGAGAGGCCCTGGGTTCGATCCTCAGCACTACATAAAAATAAATAAAATAAAGATATTGGGAAAAAAAAAAGACACATATAAGCTAAATGTAATGTGGTATCCCCAATTAGATCCTAGAAGAGAAAAATGATATTAGTAAAAAACCTTGTAAAATCAGAATAAAGTCTGTAGTTTAGTTATTAGTAATATACCAATGGTACTATCTTAGTTTTGATAAACAAATATGCCATGCTTATGTGAGATATAACATTAGGGGAGGTTGAGTGAAGGATATGTGGGAACTCTCTATGCTATCACTGCAACTTTTCTATAAATATAAAATTTTCTTAAAATACATATATGGTGAGCCATGGTAGGAACCATAGAAGAAAAGCTGTTCTTTATTTGTTGGATTTGCATAATCTAGCATATATAAATACAACTTTACTTCCCAGATGAATCTTGTTCTTCTACCTAGATTGTAACTTCTATGGCTTAGAGATGTCTCCTGATAGCACATAAACTTGGGCCAGGCAAGGCTATCCAAGCAAGACTGACAGTCTCAATGATGGTTGGCTTATCTTGGCAAAGAAGACACTAAAAAAGACATCAAAAGATTCACTGTTAGGTTACTCTTCTTCTTCTTCTTCTTCTTTTTTTTTTTTTTTTTTTTTGCAAATTTTATTCCAGTGTTACACAACTAACATCAAATGTTCTAAAAATGCTGGGACTGCAGGCAAATCTCACATGCTGACAGTAACATGATAATGTTAATTCAACACTGCTTCTTTCACCCAGCCAATAAGAGCCAAAGGACTGTAGTTACATTGAGCAGCTATAACCAATGGTGGAAATGAGATCTTTCATAGAAGTAAGCTTGTCTTCTTTCTATCATTAAAACAGGACTTGATTTAACTATGTAATTTACATAATTATGTAGTTGCCCACATATCACTATTCTATTTCATTATTTTAAAAAACCTTGTTTTATATAGAGTAATCATTTCTCTCCCAAGAAACTATGAGCTAGAATGGAAACTCAGTTCACCTTTAGTTTTAAGAGTGAGTTGTATTGGTCTAAAACTTTAGTTCTTTTTTTTTTATTATTGGTTGTTAAGACAATACAATGATCTTGACATATCATACATTTGATTCAAATGGGGTATGAATTCTTATTTTTCCATGTGTACAGATTGCAGGATCACATTGGTTATACAGCCACATTTATACATACAGCAATACTAGTGTCTGTTGTATTCTGCTGCCCTTCCTATCCCCCCCTCCCCTCCCCTCCCATCACCTCTATCTGATCTACTGTGACACATTTACTCTTCTTCTTTTGCCAGAACTTACAAGTGCATTTTAAATAAACAATAGAAAATATTAACAAATTTATTGGTTTGGGCTATATGAAATTGCATTTTGAGACTAAAGATGCTAATATTTACATTTTATATGGCTCATCTTATTTAATAAGCATTTTATGTTAATCATTGAGAGGGTTTGCAAGTCAACACCTATCAAGTATCAGTATAGGCTTTATTGTAAATATTATTTTCATGAGTTCCTCTCCTATAGGGTTGCCACTTTTTGCTCTTAACTATATGCATTTTCTTCTTTCCCAAAAGTTACATAAATAATAAAATTTTCCCCAGAGGTTTGAGACCAACTTCTGAAACACCAATTCAAAAATTATGTATCATGACACACTGACGTGTACTGACTAGTTGCAAAGTATATAGCAGGTAATTTACTACTACTAAAAAAGAGCCCTAAAATTTATAATTGGTTTGTCTTTTGCCTTTTGATACACACTTGAATAGATTCAAGACAATTTCTGTAAAGACTTAAACTCACTCACTTACATCCCAATGTGATTTCTGGAATTGGGAGGAAAGAGGTGAGTCTCAGTCTGGGCTCTGGGAATCACAAACCACCCTGGGTGTGTTCAGATGGCACATGTTAACAGCACCGGTCTGTGTGCACCTGCAGACAAAGGGAGGCTGAGAGCTGCTATTACAAAAGCTGGACAACTGCTGTGAGTTCCCAATTCAGAACACAAGGGTCTCTTCATTCAACCACCACAGGCAGGCGAAGTTTATTTGAAAGGGAATGCAACCTAACAGCTGTAAGAATATCTCTTGGGCTTATGGCTACATTCCTTCAAAAGCAGCACTGTACCTCAAAAACAAATGCCAAATGTCTTCTTTGATATAAGGAGAGTAACTAAGAACAGAGTAGGGTTGAAGAGCATGAGAAGAAGATTAACATTAAACAGGGATGAGAGGTGGGAGGGAAAGGGAGAGAGAAGGGAAATTGCATGGAAATGGAAGGAGACCCTCAGAGTTATACAAAAGTACATACAAGAGGAAGTGAGGGGAAAGGGAAAAATAATACAAGGGGGACAAATGAATGTCAGTAGAGGGGGCAGAGAGAGAAGAGGGGAGGGGAGGGGAGCGGAGTGGGGATAGTAGAGGATAGGAAAGGCAGCAGAACACAACAGACACTTAGTATGGCAATATGTAAATCAATGGATGTGTAACTGATGTGATTCTGCAATCTGTATATGGGGTAAAAATGGGAGCTCATAACCCACTTGAATCAAAGTGTGAAATATGATATATCAAGAACTATGTAATGTTTTGAACAGCCAACAATAAAAAATTAAAAAAGAAAAAAAAAGCAGCACTGTAAAAATCAGTAGTTTTTAAAATGTTTATTTTTTTCAAATGAATTCTTACAATTTACTTATTTATCTAATGATTTTTTTTTTTCCTGAGTGCTTGCTACATGCCAATAACTACACCACTACTCCAATTACTAACATAGATTCTGTCCCTGGGCACAAGAAATTTTGTTGTTGTGACAGACAAGTTAGATGAACACCAAAACAGAATTGTAGAGTGTAAAGTGTCATGAAATAAACAGAGCAGTGTGTGAGAAGGAACCTACTTAGATAAGAAGGTCAGGGAAGGATTCTCTGAGTGAGTCACATTTAAGGGGAGACATACAGGATCAGAAGGGGACAACCATACACAGCACAAGAAGATGGCTAAATGATGCAGACGGAACAAACATACTTGAGTCTGGAAAATAAAAATGTGGAGCAGTTCCAATTTTCAGGATCATGTGGTTTTTCTTAAAATACTGAGCAACCCAAGTAATCTAGAGAAGGCATATCTCGGATTGACATAGAATTGGGAATTGGCAATTCAGCTGGTGTTATTCAGGGTCTAAGAGGTGGGGGAAAGGAAGGTATGTTGAGAAATATAAAAATGTAAATATTACTGCAAGAGATCAGAAAGACCAAATATTACCTAAGTAGTAGTCAGACTTTTTTTTTTTTTTTTTTTAAATTCCTATGCTATCCTTGTAGAGATCTGCACATTTCTGATCCATCATAGAGACAGGGCAGCACTCAGAACTGTCGAGCAGATTTCACTAAAATCTGGAGATGTCTGAAATGGAAGTGAAAGTTCACATCATCAAGATTATATCATTTCTTACAAGACAGCCATCATCTATATATCAACAAATGGAGCCTAAGGCAGCACTTTCTTTAGTACTTTTCTGAATCTATCCTTCCATTCAGGGAATATTGCAGAACCTGTGATCATTTGCCATGCCCTACACATTATCAACCATTAACATAAATCAAGCTTTTGCATTTGTAATTTATGTTTTAGCACTTAGAGAATACCTTGCTAGTTATTTTAAAGAGATAAATCAAATCAAAATTTTGTTAATAAAATATCAGAAATGTCACAAGACCTCTGATTTATTTAACAATGTCTAACATTCCTTGATCTCCATTTATTTTAAATTTTTAGGAAGAAAAATGGTTGCTGGCTCATCCTGCTCTTATTTTTATTCCTTCATTTAGGAGATTATATCTCAGCTCCAAAACCATTTTTAATAATAAGACATGCAATTTTTAACTGTTGATATTTTTAAAAGAATAGACATGATTAAGATTAATTCATGCAGTTCCAGATAAGCTCGAATAACGGATTAGTCTGTATAGCACATCTGATTCATGTCTGATAGTCAAGCTTTTATTTTTTAACTTAATATATATATAATATATATTATATATATATATATAATATATATATATATATATAATATTTATATAAATTTATTCCCTTATTTGCTTAAAAGCCCAAACTGCCTATGCAATAGAAAGAATTGAATATGGACTGAACATTGCTAGGGAGCCCATACGAACTGCTCAGCTTACAAATTGTATGTATTCACAGGGAAGGACTGGGCACAGCAATTTAACATAAGACAAAAGAAAATGGTGCCTCTGGGCTCTACAAAGCTTCTCTCCAAAAGTAGAGTGCCAGGAGAAGATAATTGAACACATGGAGGACATTGAAAGGAAAAGACAAAACCTGAATCAGCACCTGCAAGAGCAACATGCATACCAGGTCTCAAATAAGAGGCAGATTTACAATTTTTGGAGCCAACTTATTCATATTTTTTATCTAGAGAATCTGAGGGACAAAAGATTCATGACTCACCTTTGAAATAGTCACCAACCTTCTTCATTTACATTTAAATAATTTTTGTCCTCCCTGTATTGGTGGGTGTATATATATTCAATGCTGTTGAAAACTCAGGAAAAACAACCTAGAAGTACTCACCTTGCATTTTAGAAGGTACAGCAAAAGCATTTATAGTCTTATATCATATAATAGGGGCTTACCATTTTGAAGTTCTAGTATTTACCCATAACAGAATGAAGTGACAATGTTGAAAATGAAACTAAGATTTCTTATAAAATGAGAAATATTCCTTGATAGAAAGGCAATTCAAGTGAAAACTTAGTTTAATCTTTTCTAAGGTAAACATTTGCCATTCTTACTCAATGTTGATTAAGTTTAACAAACATCGATATTAGGGGAGAAACTTAAGTAGACTTACCAACTAAGTATCCATTTGATCTAGAAAAACCACAGGAACTTCAGTTCCATCATGTACAAGGTAAAAGTATTAAAGAGTTGGAGCTTGTCTAATAAACACTCCACTCTCTAAGAATTGCTGAACAAGAACGTTTAAAAGAAACTTTAAACTGCTGTAGTTTTTTTTGTATAAACTCAAGCCTAAAGCATTATCTTTCTTTCAATTTTGCTTTTTTCCTTATTGCTCAAAACAAAAAGAAATAAGATGCTGTTCCAGCCTCTCATTTACTATAGTTTGCCTATACTCCATTGAATCCATTAATCCTATACTTACTACACACACATTATAGAATAATCAAAGGAGCAATAAGGACCATATGACCAAAGAAGGAATGTTGCAAATAGAATATGGCTTATCAGAATGTCCACTTAAAAACTTATAAATATTCTAAAGAAAAGAGAAAGAATTGCTTCCTATGCCTGAAGAAGCACATTAGGAAAACACAAGAGTAATAAGGATTCTCAAAAACAGCTCATATATGACAAAGTCATTCCTTAACAGAAAAAAAAAATGTTTAACATTCTATCTTAAATTGGGCAAAGATTAAGTAAATAAAATAATTTTAATTAAAAACATAGAATTAAACAATGTTTTATGTTCAGAGTTTTTCTCTATTCTTGGATTCTCAGTTTCTGTGACTGACCTTCCAGTGACGTTGCCTACACCATAAAATAGTAATGAATAAAATGAGCAACCAGAAGTTAAAAGAATGAGGAAAGTTTCTGTGTTTCTACAGCTCAAAGTCAAAATTCAAAGTCTCTATTACATAGCCTGTCCAATAAGATAAAAAGGACAAAGTAAGATACTTGAATCTAGTCCCAAAAGAAAGGCCACCCTCTTAAATAAAGCACTTCACAGCTCTTTTCTCTCTGAAGCTCTTGTCTTGAGCTATCTCCATCCTATTAATACATTCTTAGAACTGCCTCTGGCATATATCTGAAAAATATAATGGCACCTCAATCGAGCATTTCCAGTTTTAAGGTTGGTGGAGAAGGTTGCAAAGGTACCTTACATCTTCTTTCCCAGTGATGCTAGGTCTTTACCAACAGTGTGAAGATGTAGTGGATTTGAATGGTCAGGCAAACCAAGATTTGGAAGATCTGACTTTGTCTAATAACCTAAGGGGAAAAACCATACATGGTTTTTACTTTCTGGGATCCAGAGAAAAAGAAAAGAATTATTCTGCCTTCTTAAGTCTTAGACAATGCTGGGAGCCTCACATCATGGATATTCCTTTGCTTTGTTTGGTGGGAAACTTCTTATTATGTGGCCTTAAGAGATGCCTCAAACACCACATAAAATACAAGGGAGAATGTGTTATAAGGAGATAGGAACACCACATCCCCACATTCCAGCCATGGCTTTCTTATTGTGCCCAGGGAATCACTATGATGGAGACAGACACAGAGCTCGCTGTTGTATATGATAGCCTTCCATATTTACATTCTACCAAGAGAAACTTCATTTAAACTAACCTAAAGTCAAAGAGTTTAGAAGCAGAAAACAGGTGTATTGTCTCAGCCCTTCCCTGACCTGTAAAGGCAGCCAAGAGGATGGTCCTGTCTCAGCCTGTGAACCAGTATATTCAATGTCGAAGGTTGAAGCATCCTTCCTCAATTCTCAATTATCTCTTTTTCAAATCCAGGTTTTTCTTGGGCTTCCAATAGCTTTCAAAAGTATTTCAGGCAATTCTTAGTTTTCTGCCAAGGTTGAAGGGGCTAAAATAAAACTGGTTTCAGTACCCTAGAACAGAAGCTTGTATCAGCAGGGATCCAGTCACATGACTCAACATGAATGGGCTTTAAGTTTGGAGAGGCTGCCTACATAAGAGGCTTTCTAGAAGAACAAGGAAAAAAAGATCTTATGAAGGGGTAAAATGTTCTGTTAAAGTTGATATCAAATTTTAAAAAATACCATACTTACCAAGTATTCTTCCTTAAAAAATGAGCTGTAGTCTGTCTGTCTGTCTGTCTCTCTCTCTCTCTCTCTCTCTCTCTCTCTTTTTTTTGGTGGTGCTGGGGATTGAACCCAGGGCCTTGTACATACGAAGGAAGCACTCTACCAATGAGCTGTATCCCCAGCCTGAGCTGTAGTCTAATTAAACTTTTTATATCTAACCACAATCAAAACAAATAGAGTAGATAAAGAAGTTAAATGATACCTTAAAAAGACAATCAACAACAGACTGTTGGAATACTATATAGACTCATGACCTGTTTTATCCAACAAATTGATGGCATTAAAAAAGTGTGTGTCTTTGTGTGTGTGTACTCTTTAGGATGAATGAAACTTTAAAGAGGTAACAATCAACTGCAATGTGTGGGCTATATTTGGATCCTAATTTGTACCAACTAAATGTGAATATTTAAACATAGACCTTAATGGAGATCATAGAATACTAGATAACCTTAGTAAAGAGGCCTTATCCATTACAAATGTATCCAGAAGTATTTACAAGTGAAATAGCAAGATATTTGAAATTTTCTTTAATACTCTGAATAAAAAGGTGATTAGATGAAACAAGATGAACAAAATGTTGATTACCATTGTTGAAACTGGATGATAGGTCCAAGTAGGACCTATCTGCTCTCTTATAAATACATCAATATTTCCATAATAAAAAGTTTCTTAAAAGTCAATGTAGGGTTAGGGTTGTGGCTCAGTGGTAGAGTGCTTGCCTAGCATGTGTGAGGCACTGGGTTTGAATCTCGGCACCACATATAAATAAAATAAAGGTCCACTGACAACTAAAAAAAAAATATTTAAAAAAGTCAATGTACTACCATTTATCTTTAAAAAGTACATAAATATCATTATTATAATTTATCATAGTATAAAATGGAAATAATCTATATGTTTTGCAGTATTAAACTTTTTAAGAAACTATGATAAACCAATCTGATTAAAATTATACAGCCATTAAAATGATAACATGAAAAAAGATAACAAAAAATACTTGAAGAATTTGTATTAATATAATAATATCGAATTCCACATTATGGTCATACTCTTTAAAATATATGTGACTCTAAACAAAGAGTAGAAAAACATAAGAAAAAACAAAACACAAACTTCTATGTGCTGAGGTGAGGTGAAAGTCTTTTCTTATTGGTGATATAATTGTTTCTGAAACCAATAAAAAACTGACATGAACAAAACAAAAAACTGAAGAGGACCTACATATGCTAGGACATGGCATGATATGGTGAAAACTGCATTGGCTTTGGAGTCAGACAATCCTGGCAAGTTATTCAAAAAATCTGAGAACATATTCTCATCTCCAAAATGATTATATTTCATCCTTCAGGAACAATGGAAAGGTTTAGTGATGTAAGCAATCAGGCATGTATGTAAACCCCCATCACAATACAAACACACAGTAAACCTTCAGCAAACAGTACTCAGTGCTATCATCATATTAAAAGTGGGTTCTAAGAAAATAGAAAAAAGGGAAGTAAACTGATGGGGAAATGATCTGAGAGTTCTCTGGCAACATAGCTTTTGCACAGAAAATAAGAGCAAAACGCCCTGAAAGACCTTAAAAATCTTGTCTGGGCCTGATGGAAATAAGTTTGCTGGAGAGAGGCCAAGATTTGTGTGAGGAGCAATGAGTAAAGGGGTAGTAGAGAGGTGCACAAGGCCACCCTGAAGGAAGAACTGAAGAGCCACATAATACTGCACTATGTTCCAATTGCTCTACAACTTCAAGGCAAAACACATAGGCCTGGAGGAAGGGGGCAATGAGCACAAAAGGAAGAAATTAAGAAAAAGTGCCTAGGGCTGGGGTTGTGGCTCAGTGGTAGAGTGGCTTGCCTAGCACGCGTGAGGCACTGGGTTCGATTCTCAGCACCACATAAAAATAAACAAATAAATAAAATAAAGGTATTGTGTCCATCTACAACTAAAAATATATATCAAAAAAAAAAAAGAAGAAGGAGAAGAAGAAAAGAAAAATGTCTAGAAGACTCCAAATCTGAATAGGACACAAGAAATGTTCAAGTATCTTTGTGTGGGGGTACAGAGATAGGACTTTGTGGCAGTGCTTGGCATTTCTTAACTGCTACCACTATGCTAGATGATAGTTTTAGGGCTTGAATTACCTTAAATTCATGTAAGATTACTTCCTCCTGTCTTTCTATTCCACAAGATGAAAAAATTAGGTCAAGAAAGAACTGAGGTGGCAAGGTTCTCTGGCAAAGCTATGCCTAGAACCCTGTGACCAGTGCTCTTGCTCTACCTCCTTACCCCACACCACAATGACTGCTCCATTACCATCACCAAACCAATTATTTTTACCTACATTTATTAAATATATGTAGCTTTCCATGTCTTAAGCACACAGTGAAAGGTAAACATTTATTCTTTACACTAATTTCTTTCATGTCCCAAGCTCCCTACTGATGTCAAGTTATTTTCTTGCATGTTAACAAAAGAGAACATGTCAAACCTTTGTTCAGCATATGCTCCATCAGCACCCACTATGCATCAGGCACATAAAAACCAGTGGAGTAGTCCTTGTCATCAAGAAGCCTACGTGGTACGCTGAAGAAGACAAGCACGCCTACAGATCAGTACAACTCTGTGCATACACTTTGTTCAATGTGCTGTGGAATTAAAAAGAACAGAACTCAATGGACCCAAGAAGGAAGAGAAAACTTCACTGAGAGTTGATGCTGGAGTAGACCCTGAGGAAGAATAGGGGATTGACATGCAGGAACAAGAAGGGAGCTAGTTCCAATAATATGTGCGTGGCACAACAGCTTAGTGAAATCTGGTGAGGACTGAAACCATGAGAATTATCAGAAAATATAGCAAGCACATTAGGGTAGGTGTTGGGTAGGGCTATAGAGAGAAAAATCCTAGTCAGGCAACCTGGCAGCAGAGTGAAAAGGAAAGCAAAAATCAGCCCTTTAAATTATAAGAAAATATTTTTTAAAACAGTGAGAAGAAATTTATTTCTTGCCTGTGAGCCCTAACTACAATCAGGTGGGATTAAAAAATAAATCATCACTGGCTCAAGTGTCAGAAGCCTCTAAGAACAGAATGAATTGTGGCCTTATGCAGATTCCAGAAGTTGGTATCAAACCTGTGTTTGGGGGTGTGGGTTATGGGATGGTCATATTGATTCTGGGTTCCTGGCAAAAATTCCCTTTTCTCTGAAATCATGTCTTTTCTACGGGCTTCTCCCCCACGTCTCTCCCAACCTTGTTCTAGAGATCAGTAGTGGTATTTAGATTTGAAATTCAGTCTCTGTAGTGTGATCTCTCTGGTCCTGTGTGGTCTCCAACAAATGATTCTTCAAAACCATCCAGACTTAACCCCCAGCAGGGACCTTCCTCCTCTGAAGAACAACCTGTATTGGCAACAAATTATATGGACATGTTCTTGCAAGATGGAACTATTAATAAATCTTCAACTCTAAACTCAGGAAAATTTTATGAGAGCTACAAAATAGATTGTGTGCAACATAGGAAAGTCAAGCATCATTTCCTGTGGAAATGAGCCTCTCAGAAGCAAAAAGAACAGGAAGCTAACATTGTGAAGGACCTTCTTTGGGTGGGGCACTACCCTCTAAGCACTTTATATGTGTTGGTCACTGTTTTTTTTCCTCCTTTCATTTGAGTTTTATTCTTTCTAGAATCCATAGTAGTCTATACATGCTACATAATTTGTAGTGAAGACGAATTTGGAAATGATTAGAGCAAGGAGACTGCTCATGCTAAAATCAGAGAAAATCTATTTCTTCAAACTCCCAAATATATATTATTTATAAAAGCTCCTATTATTTTCCAGATGACAGCATTTAAAGATACAAACTGACATGAACATTAGTATTCCTTAAAATATACAGTGGACATAAAGAATCCTAAATATTCTTGTGAGATTTGTCTTTTTTTAAATTTTTTTTATAGTTGTAGATGGGCAGAAAACCTTTATTTTATTTGTTTATTTTTATGTGGTGCTGAGGATCAAACCTGGTGCTTAACATATGCTAGGCAAGCAGCTCTGTCACTGAGCTATAGCCCTAGCCCACAGTTTTGTCTTTTATAAGCACATCATTCTTCTGCTCAAAATTAGAACAGCTGCTGAAACTGGATGATGCTAGGAAAATGAACCCAGGAAGAATGAAGAAAAGAATTATGAGGACTTAGCTCACCCACCTGGAAGTCTCCTGAGATGTCTCAATAGCTCTGGCCACTGATTGACATTCTTCTCTGCTGCATGCTTGCCTGTGCCTATTAGATTATTAAAATATTAATAGGGTCTTGGTGTCTGTCATTATTAATTTTGGAGATGAACAAGGACATGTGAAGCCACAGTATTGATAGATTTGTAGAATATGTTAATTGTAACACTCATTATTCAGCAAAGTTACTATATTTTAAGATGATTTTTCTCCACTAATTATTTTTGATACTTAATAATTTCTCATCTCCAACAAAGTACCTTGGAAATCTACTTATGTATTTTATAATGTTTTTATAGAAATATTGAACAATTTATGTGCCCACCACATCATGACAAAATTTTCTGATATCTAGAATTAAGCTAAGAAGTGGGTAAAGTATTAAAACTGGCATAAAATAATATATTCATTTTATTTTTAATGAATTTTTTATCTTTTTTTTTTTTCCTTCTAGATTTAGCCTGGCCCAAGGCTAACTTCTCAGCCACCAGATTCCAGGCCAGAGACACCTGCCATATACAGGCAACATTCACAATCTGCAGACTTCGGAAGGGCTTCCCTGCTGGTTTCACAAGTGAGCTTTGATACCACGGCCTCTCTCCAGGCTTTTTGGAGGTTAGCAACTTTCTGGTGGTAATGAACATTAGAAACCCCAATTCAGTTATTACAGAGAGAACTGGACTATCTTTCAAAGCAAAAATCAAGACATGTCGCATGGCATGAGAAACTCCTACTTTTAAAATGAGAAAGCTAAAGCAAAAAGTGAAATGACCCCCAATGAACAGGCAGCAAAAACTGGTGCACCAAAAGATTGAATTTTTTTCTAATTCCAGAAGCTTCACATGTACCAAGTTTATTTTGGGGTATGCATTCAACAAAGGTGGACTTGGGTATTTCCTTTGGTGAGAGTAAAGGACTCAAAATATAATTGAAAAGGTAACTAAGAAATATTGTTTTTGTTTTCAGTTTTGTTGTTGTTTTAGTCACCTAAAATCTTCCACACAAATTATATACAGAGGAAAAGAACAACATTTGCTGCTTTGGGAAGTAATCACAGATTCTATCAGGATGATGATTCTTATTGTCTTTAACGGCGAGAGTCCTCAAATCTATAGTTCTCCCCAATCCTTCTATTGTTCTGAATTTTTTCCCCACTAACATTTCTAAGAAACCAGAACCTCATATATCCAAAATAGGATGGTGATGGCAAATGTATATGCCACAGCCTTAAGTTAGAAAGATTTATGCTTCACCCCCATCTACAGATAGTACATCTATAACTAAAAACTCAGGATGAATGGAAGCTCAGGCCACACTTCAGATAGTTCTGTTACTCCTGACTATAGTATCATAGTCCCACAAGAAAAGGGATCTGATGAAAGGGTGAGGAATTCAGGCAGAACCAGAAAAAAAACCGGCTGATTGCATCATCGCCATCACTATTTATGAAATACTTCTTAATGTGGCTTCAAGCAGAAAAAAGGTTTTCAATTTAGAAGTTAAAATAACTTGGATCATGCTTTATCTAAGCTGCCTATCATAAATCAGAGAGTGATACATCTCTTTCTAACATGGCCAGCATTGCTCTTCATAGCCCAGACTCACAAAATGACAAGTTAAAATAATAACAACAGGCTTCTTTGATTGTTCCTTATAGGCTACAACAAAAATGCAAAAATAAAACAAAAAGCTATTGGGGGAAGCATTTTCAACTTTCAATATTGTGCAATTCATGCTCAAATTGATAATCTCAATCTTATCTCATGACCTTGAAGAAGCTCAGTATTTCAACTGTAAAACGTAAATCTCAGTCCATCTTCCAAAAGCAAACATTATACAAGATGAAATGCTTGGGAAACAGGGTGTTGTAATTAACCCATGATTCTCCACAAACTCCTTTGTGCTTTCAACTTGTTTTATTAGAAATCTTCTGAAAATCAGTTCTTTTCCAACCTTGGTATTCAGTATATTACTGAAAATTTCCTAGGTAATGAATTTGCTCCCTGTAGGTTAATTTATCATTCTGAAATCAGTGATTAGTCTGTGTTACTGCAAGGATAGAAAACACAAGAGACTGCTGACACTACAAGCATCCTGAAAGTTGTTATTTTTCCATTTAATTTCTGCCACAGACATTTTCTGTGATTGACCCCATCCTATATAAACCTAAAGTAGGTACAGTAGGGCTACATGAGTATGGGTGTGGGTGTGGGCATGGGTGAGAAAGGACAAAGCACATGGCTATCAACACTCTCAATCAACTGATATTTGCTCCATTATGGATTTGTTATAGTTTGCATGTGAGGTGTCCCCCGGAAAGCTCATGTGTGAAATAATGCAGGAATGTTCAGAGGTAAAGTTATCAAATTATGATAGCTGTAATTTAAACAGAGGATTAATCCATTTGAGAGTAATAATTTGAATGCATCAATGGGTGGTAGGCATGGCTGGAGGAAGTCACTGGGGATGTGCCCTTGGATCCTTGTACTCAAGTTCTCTCTGCTTTCTGAAATAAGCAGTTTTCCTCAGTCTCACCTTTCCACTATGATGTGCTGCTTCACCTTGGGCCCAGAGCTATGAAGCTGCTAACCATGAGCTGAACCTCCATGAACCAAAATTAATTTTTCCTTCGCTAAGTTGTTCTTGTTTGGCATATTGGTCACAACAACTCAAAGCTCTCTAACACAGGACTGAACTACTAATATTCTAATACTCTTCATGTCAATACTTTTTTAAATATTTTTATTTTGATTTTTTAGTACCAGTGATTGACCCAGGAGCACCCTATCACTGAGTTATATCCCCAGCAACTCCCCACACCTTTTTTTTTTTTTTTTTTTTTGAGACAAGGTCTGGCTCAGTTGCCAAGGCTGACTTGTCAACATTTTGAAGACAGTTCTCTTTGTCCCAACCTTATTAACTTTGCTATGATAAAACAATTGGGTGATACTATGGACTAAATTGTAAATATTCCCCACCACACAAATTTATTTGTTGAAGTCATAACTGCTAATGTGGCATTTGGAGATGGGACCTTTCAGAAGTAATTAGATTTAGATAAGGTCAACATGGTGGGACCCTCATGATGGGGTTAATACAGGGACATCAAAGTGTTGGTTTGCTCTGTCTCTGCACTTACATACCCAAAGAAGAAGTCATGTGAGCACACAGTGAAATGAACATTGTCTCTAAGACAGGAATAAGGCTGTCACCAGAATCCCACCATGCTGTCACTCTGATCTCAGATTTCAGCCTCCAGAACTGTAAGAAAATAAGTTTCTGTCATTTAAGCCACCTGGTCTATAGCATTTTGTTATGGCAGTTTAAGTTAAGGCAGATGGAGAGAATAAGGTACTTTGAGAAAAGCCATTTCCACAGAAACAGAGTATTTCCAAATGCAATGGACAGTTATTTCATTTCATTCATAATCATATTTGTGGAAGTTCATTTAACACTGGTTGGCCAAAGCCAAGGGCTGCCACCCTTAAAACAAAACAAAACAGCATACAATTTGAGGAACAAGAGAGTGAACAAAAGCCTTCTCAGTAGATAGAGCTATCAGTTCAATTTTCGGCATAAAACATCCTGTTCCGATTATAGCAGATAAGATCCAGTGCTTTCTGATCCCTCCACGAAGGAGCTGGGCCCTCCTGTGGTTGGGGATGCCAATGCTGGGGCAGACTGTCAGCTGGCTGTATGTGTACTACAGCCCTTCTGCACCTGGGCCTGCTTCACTTCTTGCAACTTGCACATTCGATCCTCCCCAGCACCTGGTAAGCTGAAACGAATTAAATGAAGAGGTCACTGGCCTCCAACAAAGAGTAACTTAAAAGAAAGAAAACTGCTAAATTTCATCTACAAACTGGGTTTGTGAAGTTCTTACTTTGGCAAATTTGAAGCTTTCTACTTGTCTCCATATGGTTCTGTACATTAGGACTCATGCAAAGCTGAAAATACACAGCTAGGTTTACCAGCTGCCAATGGTCAAAAGTGAAGATGCTCTCAGAGGGCAATCAGTTTCTAATAACCTAACAGTTTTCCCCTGCTATTAAAAAAAAAAAAAAAAAAAGAATAAAATGTCCATGCCGTGCAGGCAAGTACAAAGATATAAATGAAAGCTCTGCCTAGTACTGCAAAATTTGCTTTTTAATAAAATTGATTTGGATCAATTTGAGATAACTGCTGCAAGTACAAGGTTTACTTTTAGACATGTCATTTGTTTTTGTTTCCAGGATGGGCTTAAAAGGAACATTGCCAGTGTTTTTCCAATGGCACAGTGTAGTTCTAGAAGAGTTAAAATAAGAAACTCTACCTGCTTAATCTGCCAGAAAACACATGAGAGGAGCAATCAGCTCTGGGAAGAGTTGCTCTGAATGAGGTACGCCTGGCTGCTTTAGGCCACGCTGTTTGTCAGTCTTTCAAAATTCAAGTCATTACCAGATGCTGATCTACTATAATATTGTGATATTTTATCTGATTACACTTACCTGATTGTGCCTTATCTGCTATTTTCCTTCCCATTCTTCCATGTATATTAAATGCAGGTGCTTTTATTATTCTGAGAGCTAGGAAGTGTTGACTGCTCTGAATATAAATGGGGATATTATATCATTAACTTGCTCCAAAAGCAGGGCCATTCACTGCGTAAATCACATGCAAGGTACCTAGTGGAGACACAATAAACCATAATGTCTTGAGAAAGAAAGCAATGAGGAATGGATAAGGAGATAAAAATTTAAGGCATTGTCAAAGATGGGTAATCTTCAAAATCCTATTTGGTTCTTTCAAACTAGCATTTGGCAATAATATAACCTTTATATTAGAAACTTTTTTAAGTTCATAAAAAAAATCTTTTGGGGGAGACATTACAACATGGAATGCTATCACTAGTAGGACTGCATAAAAATACGATCATTAACATTCTATGCCTTGTCTAAGCTACAACGGAGACCATTTTGAACTTACCAGTCTAATCTTTTAGAGGCGTATTCTTTGCTTTGGCAAATATATTCTTACCCTACCTAGATGTACTGTTCAAACAAGGTGAACAAATGGCCAAATGCTTTCAACATTTCCTGATGTTAAAAGGTGAATAATTTAGAATCTGGTTGCAAATTTCAAAGGAAGCAATATGCAGTGAATTAAGGCAGAACTGTGACAATGTGCAGCGGCCCAACAGTCTGGGCTTATACGCTCTGCTTAGCTTCCACTATGCTGGCCTCGCTGAAAGTTAATCCACAGTTATTTAAGTGGAAAGTTTCAGAAAATCCATTTTCAGAGCAAATGTTAGGTGAGTGTTTAAATGAGCCAATGCCCTCCATTGGACAGAATATCAGATGGCCTGTTCATTCATCAGTGTGTCAGATTGACACAGCAGCTGGGGTCCAAACCTCATAAAGGAACACAAGTGACAACTTTGCTTGAAGGAATGCAGCCATGGTCATCTTCTATCAGAATTGAAGGTGTGAAACTTAGGAGAACCAGTGTGAGGTCAACTGGGAACATGAAGAATAAGATAACCAAGGAGGACACGGTTTCTACTCTCACTTTCCTCCTGGGGACCCTGCGCAAGGAGACTGACTCAAAGGACATGGGTGCTGCTATTCTTGCCCAACATTTGCCATTATAACCAAATGCACAGAACAGTGCCTTTCCTGGTACCTGAACCAATGTATGTTAAAACACCTCTTTGAGTCAAGGTTGCTCTTTTATCACAGGAACCTTTATCATTCTTAAATTATATGATTGAAAACAAACCTTAATTACGAAACATGGTGAGATTTTCAATAATTCCATATTTGCACATTTTGTCAGGAAAAATATTCTAATAGGATTCTCATAAACTGATTAAATTTCACTTATTTGTTCATATGTAAAAGTAATTTAACTGGATTTTATTTGATATTGTCCATAAGACTTAGTCTCAAAAATTAGTGAAAATAAAAAGGGGATTAGCAAGGATGGTGGAATGTGAAGGTCATCATTATACAAAGTACATGTATGAAGACTTGAATTGGGTGTCAATATACCTTATATACAAACAGAGATATGAAAAATTGTGGTATATATGTGTATTAAGAATTGTAATGCAAAAAAGTACATGTATAATGGCATAAAATGACGTGAACATACTTTATATACAGAGATATATAAAAAATTGTGCTCTATATGAGTAATAAGGATTGTAATGCATTCCATTGTTGTCATGTATTTAAAAAAATAATAACATCAATTTTAAAAAATAGTGAAAATGGAAATAAAATAGAAAATGAATACCTAACATATGTTCCCAGGTCGCAGAAGACAATAATCATACAGGGAAAGAAAAAAGGATCTTTAAATTAAACCTTATCGAATTTAAAGTTTCTACTCATCAAGAGACTCAATTAAGACAATAAAGAAGCAAGATATAGACTTGGGGAAAACATTGGCAAAATATAATTGACAACTGATTAGACTTGGAGGAAAGATTGGCAAAATATAACTGACAACTGACTGGTATCTAGGATATAGAACTAACTGTGACAACAGAAAGATAAACCACCCAATTATAAATGGGCAAAGAACTTATGGAGTCAAAAACATATATGTACACGTGGCCAATAAGCACATGAAAAAAGTGCTCAGCAACATGCATTATCAAGTAAACACAAATTAAAACCACAAGATGATGCCACTACACATTGATCAAATGGATACAGAGACAGCCACTATCAAATGTGGGCGAGGGATGGAGCACCCAGAGCAACACTGTCAATGGGAAGATAAATGACACAGTGTGCTGGGAAAAGGTTTGGCAGTTTCTTCTAAAAGTTGTAAGGACAGTTCTACAAGCAGCTATTTATTTACTATAAATGAAAATATGTTCACAAAAGACTTATGCAAGAATTCCCACTGCTACTTTCCTCAAATAGCCAAAACTACAAACAACCTCAGTGTCCATCAAGAGAAGAACAGGAAAACTATGGTAAGCAATGAAACCAGCAACACAAAAGAACAAGTTACTGATACATGAGACAGCATGGATCAATCCACAAATAGTACACAGAGTAAAAGTCATCTTACACAAGCAAACATGGCATGAATTCATTTACATGATATTAGAATATCAAAATTATTGAGTAAAAAACTCAAACAGGATTGCATCTGTGGTTTGGGGGATAGATTCACTGGGAAGCAAAATCAGAAAACATTCCGTGTTCTACATCTTGATACATGTGTTTTTGCAAAATTTCTGTGAACTCATATATTTTTAAAATGTACATTTTAATGTAAACTTTACATCAAAAATATTAACAGGGCTGGGGTTGTGGCTCAGTGGAAGAGCACTTGCCTAGCATGTGTGAGGCACTGGGTTCGATCCTTAGCACTACATACAAAAATAAATATAATAAAGGCATACTATCCATCTACATCTACAAAAAAAATTAGAAAAAAATGTTAACAAATATTAAACTCTGTATCTGAAGTATTTAGGTGAAGTATGCTAGTGTCTTCAATTTACTTTGTAATACATCACAAACAATAAAATTGGTTAATGAATGGAAATAAATGTAATAAAGCAAGTATAATACAATGTTACTGAATGAATCTAGCTGCTGGTATGTTGATATTCACTGTAAAATCCTGACAATTTTTCTATGTATTTGGAAACTTTCAATAATAAAATGTTATAAATAATAAAAACAAATTGTAACTATGTATGCTAGCAAACTTTCTGTTTGGTTATCTATCTATCTATCTATCTATTTTGTATTCTGTGGCACTGGGGATTGAACTCAGGGGTACTCTACCACTGAGCTACATCCCCAGCCCTTTTAATTTTTGAGACAGGATATCACAGAGTTGCTGAGATTGGCCTTGAAGTTGTAATCCTCCTGCCTCAGTCTCTCTAGTACCAGACTGCAGGAGTGTACCACTGCACCCAGTCTGTTTGGTCACTTATTACACTTAAAATTATAATTGCAGCAAAGGCTAAAACACCCAACAAGCTCAAATTTACTAAGCTCCACAAAATCAGGGGTTTGCTTTTTTTTTTTTTAACTGATTAGAAGCAACTAGCTCTGTGTCTGGCATACAGTATGTGATAAATATTTGTGGAATGAATTTTATCACATAAATCAGGCTGTATTAGTGCTAGGGAAGTGAAATTTGGTAAAAGCAATACAAATTGTCCTCCAAAACCAAGCCCATGACTGAAAATATTTTTAAGCTAAGTATAGATGACTCTAACACTGTTTAATATGAGCTATCTAACTAAATTGATTTCAAAATGGTGATGGGAAATAATAAAATAGAATTCTAAGCATTTATGTAGCTCAGTGATCTAAAACTTAGTTGGGCATCAAAATTATCCTAGAAATGCAGATTTCTAGAATCAGAGATTGACTGAGCAGTTCTGTTAGTCCTTAAAAGATCCTCTCATAATGTCAGTGAATATAAGTTCATCAATGAATGATATTGTTCATTTCTTTTCATCTAGTTCAAACCTTCCAAAAAGACAGCAAGAGACTGCTTGCATTTAGCCCCAACATACCAAGCACTATTCATGTTATCCCATTTAGATCTGATGGCAACTCTTCCAGGTATTGTTAACCCTAGTTTACAGTTAGGAAAACTAAGAATAGGCAATTGTAAGTAATTTTGTCCATATTCACTATAGATTGCAGTGGAAGAACAAGATTGGAAGCCAGATGGATCCACAAACCTACCATACTACTATAAACTCTTTTTAAACAAGTAAGGGGAAAAGTTACTGGGAAAGTCTTTCATCTGGCATTATGGACAGGAGTAACTTTGACATATATAAAGTGCTTATTTTAAATGCCTGCTGGTATAATCTAAGCCTTTGCTTGTTCTAGTACCTAAAAAAAACCTGCTCCTCTTATAGAGCCTCAAGAAAAGTTTGTGTGTGGGTGGGGGGAGACATAGAAACAGATTAATTTACTAAATCTTTGCTCCCAATACTTTCTGCTCCCTGAACTGCTCTACTTTGGATTCTCAAGAGTTCTTCAAGTGAACGTGCCAAACTGAATATTGCTTTTTCCTCTCACAAAAATCAATTAATAAATAAGTCTCTAGCACTTGACTATTAAAACATCTTAGGCAAATTCTCATTTGCCTTGTTGCTACAGTAGAGAATTATTGGTTAACATCAACAAACAAAATATTGCTACCTCCTTCCACGATTGCTAACATGACCACTGGTGCATTAGTTCTCTCATGCTATTTTTAGGTTTGGAGATTATGCTCATTGTAATACAAGTTTGCCCCTGCCACACACAATTTATTAAGATTCTTATATTTCATATTATTCTACCTAGAATTTTCTGTTAGGAATATTTGGGATTAGGAATCAGGTGTTCAGAATAGAAAATCCCTCTCATCCTGTGATTTCACAGCAGGGACTTGGAACAACTCCTACTCTTCTAAGCCTCAGTGTGCCCCTTCACAAGGTGGTGAAGACACTCACTCCGTTGCATATCCCAACCAACAGAGGCACAAATCTCTTAGCCAGGCACACTCCATTCAGTACCTAAAAGATCAGATCTTCCTGTGCCTAACAGCATTACTGTGAGGCAAACATAATATAAAGACTATTAAAAATACCACATAATTTTTTTAACTCTTTTGAACACAGGGCCTCACACATCCCACACATGCT